TGTCTCCCTTTACATGTCTTTTTAATAGTGATTTCTATTCCTTTCATTGGGCTTTGAGGCGTTGCCCCTTGTTCGTTGAACTGAAGCGAATGACGTTTCTTATAATCCGATCCTTAAGGCTTTGCCTTCTGATTTTACTTAAAGCGACGATCACTTTCCATTATATTTGAAGCTTTGCTTCTATAAATTCTTTAGTTGAAGCGACAAACGCTTCCATCTTCTATGCATTATAGTGACCGTAATCATTTTTATTGGCCAGTGACTACAGTCTTGTATTCACTGCTCTTATAAGAGTTCTTTGCAACTCTTTAACTTGGCAGCCATCATAATTGGTTTACTTCTGGAGATTGTGCTTCTACTTAATTTTTGTAGTGATCCTGGGCAGTTAATTTCTCTTAGAAATCATTCAAGGAGTTTCATGTTAAACGTATTCTTTCTCTTTTAGGCTGCACATAGCTGCACGTGTTCGATCAGTGCTTATGCACGATATATTTCTCTTCTGAACCGGTTTTTATTTACGTCGACAATAATATTTTCTTGTTTGGTGGTTATGATCACCATCTTTTCTTAATTAACGACCCTAGGTACAACTGGAATCAATGATTCCAGCTACATTACCGCATTAAACAATGATTGTATTAATTGCTCGTTTACAGTTTAGACCATAGTAGTTCTAGAAGAGCTTTATCTTTCACAGAGGCTGTAGTAGTCGTTGCTCTCTTGTAGCAAATTTTTTACTTTGTCCATCTGCAATGGGTGCTTTGCATATATTCTCTCTTGCAAACAATTGTCATCAATACTTTCATAGAGGTTTTCCCTCCGATTAGTTTGGCAGTAATTAATTATTATTAGCTCTTTCTCTCTTAGGAGACGACATCATCTCTGTTTAGCCTTATAGTGACGTATCCGTAAGAGGCTTTAATCTTCGAAGAGACAAATGTCACTGCTTGTTTACGTTAGAGAGCTTTTGGTCTCTAAGTTCCTATGTAGTGACATGTCGTCACTTTTGGATTTTAGGAGACTTTGTCTCTAATTAGTTTAACATGACCATGGTCTCAGGTGGCTTTACTCATGATCGAATCATCACCACCATATTCATATTATCATATTTCCATCAAGGAAAAATGTTATGTAGTGATTGTTGTCACTTTCGTTTCTTAGGAGGCATTGCCTCTTATTTTTCTTAGGAGAGATTATCTCTAATGAGAATCTAATGCTGCTTGAGTCTTACGAGGTGTTGCAGTCGTTTGTATTAACGACACTAGCCATTATCGCTGCTTGCCATGTGTTTATGAGGCGTTGCCTCTGATTTAATTGGTATTTGACCATGGTCATTATAGGTTAATATAGGTCCTCTGTTTTCTGTTGATTTTTCTTATAGTTGTCTGATTAGGAACTATTGACTTTGGTGAATGATTTTCACGCTAATAATTTTACATTGGATTAGTGTTTAGAAAGATGCCGTTCTCTGATTGTTTGTAGAATTTAATTTTACTTCTTCGTTTTGTAATATGCATGGTCGTCAAAACTCTTACAATTACCATTCTGGAATATTTTCTGTTCAAATATATTCTTTTGTAGCGCGTTTAAAGAAACAAACTGTAGAATTGCTCAGGATTGTCTAGTATAAGTTGCTTTGAAAATTGTATGTAACTCCTCTTTGTCCTTGGTCTTTGAGAAGAAACGTTTTACTTGGAAAAGAAGAAACCAGAAGAAGCAAATCATTCAATAAATGGGCATAAGAAAAAGGTAATTCGAGAATTCTCCTTTTCATGAATAAATCATAGTTCTGTAAAACACTTTGTTCTTATGTGTAGCCATGATATCTTAATTGTGAGAGTAGTTACATGGCTCTTTATAAAGTTCTGGTATTGATGAATTTTTGTATTCATTATTATCATCATTTCTCGACTCTGATTGATGGCAAAATAGGTGCTCTGCCCTACGCATCACATAATTATTAGTTTTAGTTTTGCTGCAAAGTCATGGCAATTTCTCCAAGCCATGACCAAAATATATACATAAAGATGATACATTGTCTCTGCATAATCTGGATGATTATGTCCCAGGACTCTTCTTTTCAACTAGATTAGGGTCACTGGAAATAATCAGAAGAAGAAAATCGTAGAAATTGGTAAGTGTAAATTAAAAAAATAATAGAGCTTAATCACATCCATACCTTTAAAGCACGCTGCACAGGGAGCAATAGAAAAGAAATTTTTTTTAAAAGTAGTTAGCATCACATAATTTAAAGCTTATCATCATCTGAAGTTTTGTTGGCAGTATATAAAAGGCAAACAATAAGTTATAACGAAGAGCCAAGTACATTTGCAAGGGTGATTACCTCATAGCACGCACGAGCTTCCTCAAGTTTTCGCTGGACAAGATAGAGTTGTCCAAGGTTGTGTAGCGTAGCACCAACACTGCATCATTAAGAATATATTGTTCGATGAATGAAGGGAATAAAAAGAATAAGCGTAACAAAAACATATATAAAACGTAACACGATTCTCCGTAGAAGTGGAATATTTCTAGTTGTATTTATGACTTCCAGCCTAACCGTGTCGGATTCCTATAGATCACTAAAAAAGAAAAAAACGGAAATGGACATACATAATACTTAAAAGACTTAGGGAATTTGAAACTGTCATGTCAGGTAGAGGCATCAAGGGAAAAAGTCAGCAATCCAACAAAGGCATATAACTAGCTAAAAGTACCAGACAACTCAGCCATCTAACAATATAAGAGGCGGAACCTTAACCCTATGGAAGCCTTAATTCTAACAAATAAAATAAAGTTATGGTTCGATTAAGCTTATATACAAATATAGCTCGTATATTTAGTGTTTGGTTAGTTTTGGCGGAAGGTTTTACACTCACGTCATACTTATCCTTCTCATATACTTTCTACAAGCATTTGAATCATGTGATCGCCTATCACTATTTTAGTTAATAATTAGTTTCCATTAAAATAAATTTCAAATCATTTTTTTAATTTATACATATATTATTTATATTTTTAGCTTATAATAAATTCATCAAGATTTTTATATTGTCTTAATCATATATATGAAAGGACAATGTTCCCTCTCCACGTCAGCACGCAATGGAAGGACACGTGGCACATACAAAAATCATTAATTCGTTTCTAACACCGACTATAAAATTAAAACGTCTCCGACCCTCCGAATCTCCCATCGCCTCTTCTTCATCTTCCTTTATGTATCCGTTTCTCTTCTTCATCTTCTATGCATCGTTCCTCCAGGAGTCAACTACATTCAATCTTTTGTTCTTTTCTTTTCTTCTTTTCCTTAGTGTTTTGATACTTCTCTGCTATTGGGATTTTCAAGACCAATCGCTTGCTCACAGGAAATTCGCTCTCTCCTTTTTGCTTATATCAAACATCTTCTCTACTTTCAGCATCACGCCATGGCACGGTTATCATGTGGCGGTTAGTAGAATGCATAGGGACAATGTTTTGATCTTAGTTTTACAGTGTTCGGAGTTGAACAGGTTTTTTTGAATATATTGTCCAAATACTATTTTTGAACAAAACCTCTTATCAAACAAAGCAGTCAACACACATCTTATCCTCCCATTGACTTCCTTGTTGGTCGCTTTCAATGCCTCTTATGATTCATACGTGGAAACAAGGTTTATATTCGAGAAAGACTGTATCAAGAGATGTTTGATGTTTGTGATGGTTGTATGGATTTCGGCTTGTGTTAAATTATAACCTCAAACCTCTGCAAAAGAGCTCATGCAGTCTCTTCCATTCACATACAACATCAAACGTACTTTCTACAATACTCCTTTCCCTCTAATTATACTCTTTCTAATTTGTAATAACTCTCACACTCATTCTGATATCTTTTGCAGCTTCTGAGACTACGCCACATCAACATCAACCATTCTGTCGTAGTGCACCATTTTACAATACCAAACAAGGTGGTTCTCCGTTCTAAAATCTCTTTTCTATTATTTTTTGAAAACAGATTTTCAGTCCACTAGCTGATTATCATTGTTTTCATTGTTATGTTGTCTGTATTAGTTCTTATTGTCTTTTAAAATATTAACCTCTGATCTTATATTCCATAAATGATGATTTTGGGTATTAAAAAAAAAAAAGATGATGATTTTGGGTACGTTCTTTCTCCATTTCATTAGCAAAAAGCACATAGTACGTTTCTAAAATCTCTGCTTTGGTTCCTTATATTGCCACTTTTTATTGTGCTCTTTTGTTAAGATGAATTTTTAGCACTCTAATCTCAACTGCCTTGCCTTTTGCTAACTATTGGTTTTAAAAAATTTGTGTTGTTTAAATGATCTTCTAATGTCCGGTCAAAATTTATATTATATTCCAAAAACCATAAGAATCCTGATATTATATGTTACTTGTTGCTGTTTAAACAAATGCTGTTATTATAAACACCAAACATGACTGGATTGAACTAAAGAGTCTAAACTTTCGATCTTTGATCCTATACTTGATGTTTATTTATTTGCTCAAAGATAACTGCACTTCCCTGTTTTGGTAAGGTTTGGCAGATGGAACAACTATTTCTCCACTGATGTTCATGTTCTTCTTGTGCTTCTCATGTCTATTTAGTTTAGACCTGCTAAAGATTGGTTCGTAATGATGGATGAATATGGAGTTTTTAAATTATTATTCTCTACTATGCTAACCAATATATAGACACTCTCCTGGCAAATGAAGACTTGATAGTCTAACAAGTTTCTGTACAAACTGGGTTGATGCGCTTGAATGGGAGCAGATAGATATACCCCTTATGGTCATTGTCAGTCTTATTGCTTCTCATGATGAACAAAAAATATAGTTTCATTGTGACCTTATCTCACTTCCTGCTAATATATGATTTTAAACCAATGTCGCATACAGGCGACCAACTGCACTACAAGATAGAACAAGGGATAGCGATGAAGAAGATATGGATTATAGTGACAAAACCAAACCGGTGATTCCAAACGGTTCACCTACATATGGAAAACAGGATCCCGGGGCAGAAATCGCCAATGGCAGTGCGACCATTTTTTGAAGAGGATGTGGAGTTTGTGGGAGTAGAACCAGAAGGGACAGAGAACGCAATGGAACAAGCTTTGAAGGAAGGGATAGTCGGTGAAGCTGGACCATTGAAGCGGATTATCGTTCAGAAAGTTCCGGAAAACTATATTGGGGATTCGGGTCCGAGGATAATGGGAATACCATTACAGAGCACGGTGAGAGAGGCCTTCAATGCTCGCGACTGGTCTGCTCAATCAAGGTCTAGGAATGGTCTTATCCGTAATGTTAAAGACCTTCTAAGAACCTACGACCCTCAGGATAACAACATGCGCTCTGATGTCTACTCTTGGGGTGACATCACTCAAGCTGGACGTGGTTTCTCCACCAGGATCATATGGGAATCACTAAGACCTTCTACTCAGCGGAAACA